CTGGTATGCAGTGGCGTATGAGTACTGTGCTTATACTTAATCAGTGTTAGAATTTCAGGAATTTTATAAGCTAGCAGTTAAGAACAGGCCTAAAATGTTGAATTACATACACTTGTAATAAAACATATTATATATTTAAAAGCACAACCAGTATTCAAAACTCATTATTTCCTATTTATTTTACTATATTTTACTATTAACAGTACTCGTGAGCTTATTTACATCTATTGGATCTATATGTAGAAATTCTACATCATGGTTTCTGTGCATATTTCCCAATTGTAGATTCATTTATGTCATTTTGGTAGCTTGAAATCAGAGACATATGAATATTATGCCACAGAAATTGGCAAACACAATAAATTAGGGCTTTTAACTTGGGGTGAGTCTTTTGGTAAACAACACACCAGTATCTGTGTGACTATATTTTTTCTATATTGACAGCGTAAGTGTTTTCCTGCACTTGTGGAATCTCCCTGACCTTTGGCTTTACATGCAGCCGGAATCTCTTTGAACAAGGCAAACTTAATAACAGCTGCTATATTAAAAGATATTAATCTCAAAGTCAGTAACATTCAACTCTTCAGCTTTCTGCCTCTCTCTTTGGTTTGGATTTTAATAATAAGAATTTTAAAAAGTCAATGCAAATAAAGGGAAGTAGAACTGACAGGAAGAGTCAAGAGGCTTTCTTAGGGCACTTAATTTTTTAATTTAAAGATATTCAGTGATATTCACTACAAAGTCACATTCAGAATGTATTGAGATTGTTTTTATACTTCCACCTGTTTCTTCATTAAAAAGTATTTGAAGAATCAATTTTTAAAGCTGATGTACAATGAGCAATAAGTACAGCTATTTGTTAAGCCCATTCAGAGAGCAGGGGTTCTTATTCTTTATGGTCAGAAGAAAAGCAATATCAGTATATGTTTAACATACACAACTGTTGTAGTAATAAAATGTTCATAATAAATTCCTTTAAAGAAAATGATTTCTTGAAATGTTCTCTAAACCAGGCATTTTCAAATGGCAATTTACATTTCTTTACTATATTTAATATCAACTATTCATTTTAGATTAGCAACATCTTTTTAATGTAGAACAATAGTGCTTATTCCTATTTTAAAAACCTATTTTTAAATGTATAGTAGTCTCACTTTTGTACACAGGTTATTTTTGACTGCAGAACATCCCAATTAATTGATTTTTAAGATAAAACAGTAATTAATAAGTTTAACATATCACACTAGAACATCCTTTTATTTAATATTTTCCCCATAGTGCTCAGTTAACATATGAGATTTTAATTTTGAGGTGGGTCAAGTGTAGATAATCTAAATGGAATATCACACTACTAATTTTGTCCCTCTTTTTTTTTTTTTTCTCTAAAGATTTTATTGGGAAATTGAGGGCGGGAACAGCGTTGGGGAATCAGGGAAAGGGCACAGACAAGTTGCTGTCCTTTTGTTCTTCAGTCTAGTTGTGGAAGACATCGCTTCACTGACCCATGTTGGTATTATCATTGTGCTCTTCCCGGCTGAGGCAGATCGATCACCGGCCATTGGACAGCCGCTTACGGCGGCTCACGGTGGCTCATGCCTCCAGCCGCTCATGCTTACGGCAGCCCACTGCAGCCCCACTGCAGCCTATGCCTTTGCNGGGCTTATCTAGGAAAACAGAGAATTGCAATATGGAACAAGCATGATGCAGCAAAGACTATAAGGAAGTCCAGCAAACACAGGCGGGAGCATCATTGTTTAGAAAAAAAGGAGGAAGTTGGGAGGCAGAGCTTTAAATGAAAGTCTATTGGAGGAAAGTGAGAGTTCAGGGTGGTGATGGCTTCCAATTGGCTAAGTTGTGAGGGTCCCTTTGACAGAGCTTATTGCTGATCAAGGTGAGATCTTCCTTCTTCCTGCTGAAGTAATAAAATGGAAACACTTCTCGTTGGGAATAAAGGTACCTCCCTTCCTGTTGGGGTCAGTGATTGACACTTCTGCCTGTTGAGGTATGTAATTGACCTCCAGTGGTAGTACCTGAGAGCTCCGCCTTCCGGCCTTCCTGCCTTCATTTTAAATGAGGTTTTCTTTATTCATCTGCGTACTACTAAATATATTGACCCATTTCATAATTTTGACAGGAACGCTCAGCATTCTCAAAGACAAATATGAGAAAATGTGAGGGCCACAAGAAAATATTTTGTAGTTCACTTCTGACACTGATCAACAACTTGAAAATACTGCTCTGAATAGACTGCATTGTAATTTTCATTCATTATTTTTCTTACTAGGAATCTTTCCCTGAAATTAACAAAAGACATGGATCAGGAAGCAAGGTGTTCCCATATCAGCCGAATGCCCAGCAGCCCATCTGCAGATTGGCCTCTGCAAAGTGTGGAGGAAAATGGAGGCATGGACTCCCTGCCCTTCAGGCTGATGTTGCAGGACTGCACGGCCGTTAAGACGCTGTTACTAAAGATGAAGAGAGTTCTGCAAGAGGTAATGGTTTACTCTAAGATTAATATCTTTCAGTGCTGGTAGACAGTGAAGTCTGTAGACCTGGTTGGTCCTTGTTTCTGCCACTCATTAACTGCATGACACTCAGCCAGGGCCAGGTATCCTCTTGGAGTTATAGCTTTTCTCGTATGTTACATGAAGGATTTCGAGTTTGGGTTTATACAGTACTCTTCAGCTCTAAAATCCTAATATTTTGTGAAGGAATTGTAAAAGAATAATTGATACCAAGCCTGGGAAAAATCAGGTAAAGAGAACTAGGCATTGGCTGCTATGTTTATATGTTATTATAAAGCTATTGAGAGACATTAAATTAACTTCATTTTAAAGATACTGAGACTTTATTTATAGGATACAATAAAAGTAGCTTAGTCATTTTTGTCCCAATAAAAATCAGTTTGGTAAAATTTAATCTGAATGTTTGACTGATTTTTCCTATTTACTACAGTTGCCCTCCCGCAGCCTATAGTCATTTAGATGATGAGCTAGTCAGGAAAATACGTAATGGATTCTTTCACCTTTATGCTCAGGATTCAGGTATTTTTTAGATTCTAGTA